CTCGTGACCATAGTTCATATGGTGCATACGGATATATCTCGCACATGCATACGCTTCACCCAAAAAAGTGGATTTCTAGCTTTCCAGAACGATCTATAGATTTGCATGCCGTATAATGACACATGGATAAAGCTTTGACCCTCGTCTCTGTAGCCCACCATCATACACAAAAGTCACACAATCCCTCTGTTCACTCATCAGAGCATATTCTCCGACCTCATCAAAGGCTAACTCATTAAAACTGTTCTCAGTTTTTCCAACCGACTGACCTAGATCGTCAAACATAATCTAGTATCTACAAATATTGTTTGCTTAGTATGGCCCACGAGGGACCATACTGCCACTGAGTTCATGTTCCACTACATCATTTCATTTTACAAATACTCATAAGGCCTTTAAAAGCCACATGAATCCAACAAATATATGGGTTAGTATTGGAATGTGTACGCTCAAAAGATACACAAGAACCTTTTGATGGTTCAGATTGAACCATACTCATCCAACGGCCAATAATGAATTGTGTCTTTCATTTCTAATTTTTTATTTAAAAATGATATTAATCTGAAATTTTGGTCTTAGGTTCATTTTTATAAGCAAGATTAAATAAATTAATTAAAAAAATATTTTGAATAAAAAATACTGATCAAAATAAATTAAGCCATATTTTGGTCATTTTTTTAAAAAAATATTTTAAATCATTTTTATTTAGTTACATTTATAAATAATACAATAGATAAACGTTGCATATCGAGAAAAAAAAAAAAATGCAAATTCATTTTCATTTGCAGCCTAAGGTAAGAAATTACAAGAAAGCCGATTGGTGCTTGTCAACGTCATATCTGTCCTCAAATATTTCTAATGGTACATAGACAACGACCACGATGTCGATCTCCTCCAAAGCCCAAAAAAACAGTATGGTGCGGTGCAATGCTTATAATTATCTTTAGCAAAAGAAACCGCTTTTCCAGTTTCATAATGTGAACTTCCAGTTTCATAATGTGAACATTAGTGGCTGCTTGGGTGAGTGTTGGAACTTGCAAATTTCATGGCAATATCAGGTGATTTCAAAAGAAAGGAATGCATCAACAAAATCTTAGGTATTCCATCATCGTCTGTGGGTTAAAATTGCTTGAGTTTTCTTGCATTTGGACTATGCTCAAAGTGAGCCATTGCCATTGATATTTGCTTGCAGATTAATATTTGCCAGGAAACTTAGCCTCACGGCTGATTTTCTTCTTAACAGGCTACTTTTGTAGATTATTTCCATTTCGTCATATTTTCCTTCATACTTATTTCACCTCTATTAAAAAAAAATTGATTATTGTATTTACTAATTAAATTAGGAGGAGATGAAAGCAATTCAAAATCCACTCAAAATAAGAACTGTGGTTAGTAAAACTGTATAAAAAACTACGTGTGCTACACGAATGTTTTGAATGTCAACGCACAAAGCTAGGCAAAACTATGCAATTGAAAATCTGTTCCAAAACAAAGATTGGATTAGAATAGCAGACCAATACTTCCTGATATCTAAAATTCTGCTGAACATTTCCATAGATTTTCAATGAATGATGCACTGCAAAAATTTTAACAGACAGTATGACAATTGATCAAAGAGCATATCACTGAGGAACTATATATCCTCAAAGCAAAAACATTATCTTGCTTAGGGCAGTGTTTTTTTATGTCCATATTTACCAGATTTATCGAAGGGCAGGGCTCATCCACCAAGCACCAATCTCGTGACCAAAATAAGAGAAAACAGAACAAGACAAAAAAAAAATTTCTATGCTCAACAAAAAATGTCTGGTTCAGTCACTAACCCCCTTGATAGACATAGATATTCTTTAAAGTTCCTATATTCTGCAAATTCAAAATAAGATCAATCATCAGTAATCCATAATTCTGTAGGAAAGTGAATAACTTAGTTTGTACTAAACTATGATAGCAAAACCATAACTCACAAGGAATATCCAGAAAGGTCCTCAGTAAGGCCAGAAGGCCCTTAGTAAAAGATAGAAGTTTTATTAAGGAAAACAGAAAAAACCCTACCTATCATTTATGGATTTTTTCAACCCATGGCCATGAAAGAGAACGGCACTGTTCCTTTTCATTCAAAGAATAAGAATGAATAAAGATTAAAACAAAAGTAAATAACATGTCCGATGAGAATGCACACTCTAAGCATTATTGACAAGAAAGGACCAAGAGAAGAAGCAGTGTTCATTAGTTGGAGCTCAGACTACAGGAAATGGTGATTAATATAGTTATTGATATAACATGGGGCTAAGCTATCCAACATCAAATTTCATTATTTCTCATATTACATGGGGAAAAAAGGTAAAACAGGGCAGCTAAACTTTCAGCAGAATTATTAATTAAAATATTGAACTATATCTCCAAAATTTTCTCTATCTATTCCATGATTCTCATGCCATAGAAAACGTGACAGAATATCCCATTGAGCCAGAAGCCACCGATTAAAATGACTGTTTGATATCACTAATCCGATGCTTATAACTCACGTTTGAAGAGATTAAAAATCCTAAAAACTCATTGTCATAAATAATATATAATGTAGGAAAATGTAATCTTACACAGGAATGTAACCTTACTAGGTAGAAAACTCCTGAGGCATGTTGCAGATAGCCCGCATTGTGTTGCTCGCGACATCCAGTAATTGCAGGTACTCATCCGCCCCATCAATTAGATACTGTAAATTTCAAAAAAGAAACTAGACATGTTATCCAACTACAGCAATATATGCTCAAGGAGTTACATACTTCATGCTAAAGATTGACTTGTGATACCCATAAACAACATGCATTCCCTTTTCAAACAAGAAACCAACTTTAGTTCATGCAATCATTGTATTTCCTTTTAGTTCATTATGCGTATGCATACTAATCTTGTTTTACAGTCCATGTTGTACCTTGTAATATAGTCAAGCTCTTGCAGCCCAACCTATAAAAATCTTTATTATGAAATCAGTGAATTGGTTGAAATAAGCACGCGAGCACATACAGCAGTGACTTGGATGAAATAAGCATGCATGCACATGCATGTGTGTGTGTGTGTGTGTGTGTGTGTGTGTGTGTGAGAGAGAGAGAGAGAGAGTACCAGATATTTATTAAGTGTGCAACACACCCTAAATATTTCTAGTCCAAGAAGGATTATAAGAGAAAGGCTACATGGGTGACTACTGTAGAAGTTATTAGAGAAAAAAGCAGTCTAACTGGACTACTGTAGAAGTTATTAGAGAAAAACAACTTGGATAATTCCTAATAAATTATTAAACAATAAAGAAAACACATGTCAAACCCCTATGGCGTATTTGGCCATCACAATACATGGCATGCACCTGCTTTCACCGACGTAACATGTTGTATGAACAGCCACGATTAGGATTACCTTATCAGCCTCAGCGATTCTGTTGAATATCCTGGCCTTCTGTTCATCGGATATATCAGTCGTACCAACAACCATATCAAATAACTGGAAAACTAAGTTGAGTCAGTTCATGCTGATGATGATAACTAATGACGATGAAGACTCCCATTTATAAGTGGAAATGTACCTGAGAAAGCAACTGAGATACAGGATATCCTTCAGCAGTTATGTTTTCGACTTCCTTGTTTGCCTTCTCAAAACTACCACTCCTGCATGCTGAAAGGAAGGATTCAACCACATCCTGTGGAATGACCTGTCATTCAGAATAGTTTCACAGAGATTAATTCTGTAAGACAAAAAAGAGCTATGGACAGGCCAGGTATCAAATTTGCATTCCGAAATTTAAAATCATAACACAATTTCCAGGACCTGACGTTGATGCTACTGATCAATTTCCAGCATCAATCAATCAATCAATCAATCTCTCTCTCTCTCTCTCTCTCT